TCAAAAAAGAAAGAAAAAAAAAAAATAAAGAAAGAAAGAAAAGAAAGAAAAGAAAGAAAAAAAGTTGTCAAAGAAAATTTGAAATAAAAGAAAGAATATTTGAATATGAAGAATTAATTTAAAAGACACATTTGAAATAATTACGAAAAGGATGGGAAAGAATGCTTGATTATAAAAAATAAATAAATAAATAAATAAAGAAAGAAAGAAAGAATGTCTATTATGCTTGGAAAATATTAAATAAATTAAAAGAAAGAAAGATTTTTTTTTAAGAGAATTCAACAAATGAAAATTGATAAAAGAAAACGTAAAAGAAAGGAAGGAAAGAAGGAAGGAAGGAAGGAAGGAATAAAGGAAGGATGGAAGGAAGGAGGACTGTTTATAAAATTGGAGGGAAATTTGAACTAAATAAAAAAATAAGAGAATTAAACATCATGAAAATTGAAAGGAAATTTGCGAAAAAAAGAAAAAAAGAAAAAGATTTGATCAAAAAAGAAAAAAAAGAAGAAAAATTGAAAGAAAAAATTTGAAAAGAAAGAAAGAAAATAAAAAAAAGAAAGAAAAAAATAATGAATTTAAAATTATTTTTGAAACCAATTTAATTTTAAAGAAAATTGGAAAGAAAAACATGAATGAAGAAAAATAAAAACAAATGAAGAAAAAAAAAAAAAGATAAAATTATATAAAATATTAAAAAGAAATATAGAAAACCTATATTAAGAAATAAAAATTAAAAAAAGAAAATAAATTAAAAATATAGAAAAAAATTATGCAATGTGGAATAGGAAGAAATTTTTTCAAGATGGATTTAAACCAAAAATATACAAGAAAATTAACAGAAAAATTTTATAAAATCTCCTTTTAAACGCAATAAATAAAAATTTAAACGGATGAAGAAGGAAAGAACCTATAAATAAATAAAAAGGAACTAGACATGAAAATATTATACAAATTTTAAAACCAATTTCAAAATCTTGTGAAGACGCTTACTGCCTTGATATAAAAAAAAAAAGTAAATGTGAAGATGCCAAATAAATTATTTAAAGTGAAAATATTTATCAAAAAACATGGAAAACAGTAAGAAAATGATCTGAAATAATATGAAAATGGCAGTTAATCTTTTGGGAATTGTATACAGAATAAGTGAACCAGACAAAGGACGTCAGGATACAGTCACAAAATGGTTGCCCCTGGATTAAAATCATTGATCATTCAGGCAGATTGTGTTATTTTTCTTTAAATAAAAGGGGAGATTAAATCGTAATTTAGTTTGTCTGTTTTTTAAAAATTTAATTTCAAATTTTTCTTTTTCCTTTCTCTTTCAATCTCTTTTAAAATTTTCCCTAATGGAATTTCTACTTTTGGAATAAGTCTCAAGCATTTAGATAAATTAAAAAATTATATTTTATCTTCTTTTGTTTCCTGGCTGTCTCTTTGACAAAACGTATCATTTCTATTTATTTGTTCTTTTTGTTCCTTTGAATTCTATATTGAAAATTCTTCCAAATAATTCATATATATATATATATATATATATATATATATATATATATATATATATATATATATATATTATAGCCGGAAGAAATGTCTGTATTTTGTTTTTTTTGTTCTGAGTTTTTTTTGTTTTTTTTTGGTTTTTTGTTTTTGTTAGCCAACCTTCAGGTAAAATTTTGGCTTTTCCTTAGGTCCAAATAAAAAAATATTCTGAAACTACATTACCCAGGGTTGCTTAAATATCAAGTATATTTCATTTTGATCAAAAGATTAAATTAAACAAGCGGCACATGAATATATTCATACATTTTTTTTTTTCGAATTTGATATAAGATAAATTTAAATTATGTAAAGGGATTTTATACATGGGTATTTGGATAATTATATTTCATTTTGATCATAAACATTTAAATATGCACAAAATTTTGTTTTTTTTTTTTTTAACAATACCGAAATTTAAATTGATTTTTCCCCCCATTTATCCTGAATGAATTTCTATCCAAAATATAGAAGGAGAAAGCCAGGAAGAACCTCAGTCACAAAGAAAAGCAAAAGTTTAAAATTCTCAAAAATATTGAGATGCATCATGGTTTTCTAACAAATTATTTAATGATGAAAATCAATGAATCATTTTCTTTGAAAAAAAAGGTGTGTGAAATTAAATAAATATAAAATTCTAGACAATTTTCTAGTATATAAAGAAGAAATAAAACATTTTTCCTTCATAATACATGCAAATGGTTAAAAATACATACATTAAAGGTTATAAAAAAGCAAATATAAACAAAAAGGTCATAAACACAGAAACACACACAAACTGACAACACAAAACATGTATATATATATATATATAAAAAAGAAAATTAAAAAAAATTAGTTTTTTAACCATATATATATTTATAAAACAAACACATATGTTATATTATAAATTGCGTCCTGGGTAAGATGATTAAAAGTCCAACAGAAAGTCCTCTGGTGAGGAGGTTTTTCAGGAGCTAAGAAACACCTCTTAATTGTTGATGTTTCCAGGTCCACTTTGAATATGGGGAAAAGCAATTATCAGCTATGGGCAAATAGTGAACACCCAAATTCGGGTCAATACATTATGAAAGTGTCAAAATTGGTTTTAATATCCGTAATAAATCTTTTGAAGGATAAATTATTACGAGCAATTTACCAGCAATTTTTTAAAAAAATATTACCAGCAATAAAAAATCTTGTCAGCATTAAGTAACCTCTTGAGGTTGAAATGCCATAAAACAAAAGAGAAAAAAAAAACATTCTGACTGAAAATCAAAAATGCAGAAAAAATTTCCACAAGTTAGAAATGCGAGAGAAGAAAATACAGGGTGACCCAAAAAAAACGGGAATTTTTGAAGTGCCTATTGCCAGACATGAGCAAGTGGCAACACTGCGAGACAGTGACCTTGAGCAAGCAAACATTTCGCCATTTAGAATTCAAGATGAAATTCACAGTATCCCAGCTGAGATGTTGCAGAGGAATCTCAACAGCAGATTTCAAGAATGCATTCGTACAGGAGGACGCCATCTACAGGACGTAATTTAAAAAAAAATGAAAATTCCATCATTGTTTCTTAAATGGCATGTTTTAAGGTTTCAATTACTATGAATAAAATATTTTTCTTCCATTACTCTTGGTTTTATTGGATTGTTAAAAAGTTCCCGTTTTTTTGTGTCATCCTGTATTAGCAGAGAAGTTGCGGTTACATATAACCATTTCAACTGTCAAATGATGAGAAAATCTGCCAATCTAGATTGATTTTTTTTCATTTTTATGTACTATAGATAAAATCTTAGAACAATTACCATATATAAATATTTATCGAAAAGACAGGAGGAAGCTACAATGGGGCGAGGGAAAGTGACTGAAGCCGATGTGCCAGGATAAGTTTATAACATGAAAAGCCAGATTTTCCGGATTTTATCTAGCATCTCTAAATATACTCAGGGTATTTTTTATGGGTGGCAGCAATATTCTAAACAAATTGTAAACTTTAAATATATTTAGATAGATTTTAATAGAAAAAAATTTTCTCTCACGACACAGAAAACCAACATTCTTAGAAGCAAAGCGAAGAATTGATTCGATATAATCTTTTCGTTTTATGTCAGTGGAAAAGATTAGACAGAAAAGGCGTAATGAATCACTTACCTTGAGGTTAAATATCAGCCATGATGATGGATGGCACAAAAAGGTTTCTCTCAAATGATTTTTCTTAATTTACATTCAACGATGGGTAAATTGTAACCATTTTATATTTTAATTTCACGCTAATGCTTTGTTTTTTTTTTTTTTTTTTGTTTTTTTATTTTGTCGACTGCCAAATTAAAAGAAAAGTCGGACACTGTTTAAAACAAAAAAAAGAACACCATGAGAGCAATTCTCTCCGACAGAAATTTATAAAACGATATGCTGTATTGCTTGGCATTTTGTATCTGAAGCTCAAATATAATATTCCATCGATTTTGGGAAATTCTGAGGACAGTGCATTTTTGAAATTTTGACATGGAAGTGGAAGTTAAGAATAGATGTGTTAGATGATAAAAAAGATTAAACAAGATCAATAATATTCTATTTTGCCATTCTTTTTATATAATCCAGGTCCCAAAACCTACTTTGTGTCGACATTTGAAAATAACTCATTCCTTTGGTTTACTAGTATACTTTGATTATTGAATTTTATTATTTTAATCTTCCTTCTAAACATAGGTTACATTTGCCCTTAAAATTATATTAGGAGTGTAAGCAGAACCTGGTTTTTTTCATCAATTTCTTTTTCTTAAAATTAATTTTATAACTCAATTCCGAAAAGCATTTTTGGGAAAGAGCAGATTGGTATTTTAATTTTGCGGTTGGAAAAATAGTGTCCATGGGTGTAATGAAAAGTTTCCCCCATATGAAAAAATAGTATTTATGTTTTGGGGTAAATAGTAAAATTGGTATATAACACTCGAAGCTATGCATTTTTCTTCGACTGGACATTTTTTTGCTATTTCTGCAATTACAGGGTAATCAGGTTTATTGTTAATACCATAGAATTTACTTACAATGTAGTTATTATGGGAGTCGATAATTTTGTACATGTTATTGGTGCAGGAATAGCTTATTTTGATTGTATTACTATTGAAGATCTTACTTACAGGGTTGTTGTTTTTTTAATATGTTTATTTATTAACCTCAGAAAAATTTATCCGATATTATTGTTAGATAATTTACAGAAGGTTTGGGGTTGAACCCTATGATTTTTCTTTTTCTATTTTTATGTTTACATCCTATATTATATACTTCAATGATACTCATGAGGTTTAAATAGAATAGTGTATTTTTTAAGCCACTTTTGTGAAAAGCATTATCGAAAAATGCTTTATTTCTATTAAAATATTTCTGTTAGACGAAAGATTACGCATTCTTGAGCCCGCAGTAATAGCTATCTGTTTCACAATGGCATAGGGGGTGGTTAGAATCAACATTAATGTAGTTGGGGGTTTCATATTCTTTATGGTAAGGTTTGAAACTAATACTATTAAGGTTAAGTGTGATATCCACAATTTTGAAGTTAGAAGCAATCTCAATCTTAAACCTCAGTCACTTAAATGTTCTAACCATTGAGTTCTGTAACTTTACAGTAAGTGGACGATGCTATTGGGAACAAACATGTGTCCATCATCCCTATATAAGCCTACTAGTTTAGGCTCCACGATTCTACTAAGGATATATAGAATTTAGAAGCAGACTAGATCAGCAACCTGGGCCGAATCATATGCTCCCATAGGAACATCGAATTGCCATTCTTGCACTTAATCCAGGATTTATTATTAAGTGCTAACTCATTTCGTAGCAGTAAATACGATATTAATTTCATCATCTGTTATCTCCATATGGTTTTTTGAAAAGTTGATACAATCCACTAAGAGGTCTCGCGAGATAGAGGAATAAAAATCTACAATGAATTCAAAACAAACGACAATGCATGTTATTAACAAAAGAAATCACATGTGGACATAAAAGAGATGAAAGGAAAATACATTGAAGCAGCGTATGAGAGGACTAAGCAAGCGAACGCGCCCAGTCGGCAGCCTTCTTTATATACGTTTCATTGAAGATGATTGGACAAGGTACTGCGATTAAACATTTTATTCAATTGTTTCTTGTTTATAAGTGTAAGTGCTTTCTTTTCTGGGCATAAAGTTTGTAAAACTATCAAAATGTTTGCACGTCCAATCACTTTCAGCTGTACTATTAACTATTATCTAAAATATCAACGATGTGTTGATCGTCTTAAGAAAAGAAAATATTTATGCAAACACAAGAAAATAGAATAAAAAGCTTGCCACGGTACCTCGTCAGTCATCTTTCATGAAACTTATATATATATATATATATATATATATATATATATTGTTCTTTGAAAAGGAATCATATTTTATACATAAAAAAGATACAAAAGTATCGCAGTGATTAAAATTTTAGGTACTTTTCGACCGACGATTCTTCAGAAAAAATAATTGTCGGCAAGTAAAACTAAACGGTTGAAAAGAAACAATTATTTTTTTACAACTGGTGTCAAAATATACCAAAACTAGGGGAGGGAACAACAAAAAAAAGTATTATTTTGCTAGTTTAGCATTGAATCGGTGACAGGCACCCCGAATAAGGCCAACTTTTGCTTTAATTCTCTCAACCTAATCTAACACCACTTGGTTTAACTTGCAGAGAGAGAGAGAGTGTGTGTTTTAAAAATTGCCTCACAAATATGAAACACGAAGAAGGATCAGGGCACCCGTCAACCTCCATCACTGACAAGAAGATGCAACAAGCACGAGAGATAGTAAAGGCGAAGTTATCATCGATGAGGTTGCATGCTTCCCTGCAAATTCGGATCATTGCTTTACGTTCCATCTTGGTGCACACTGCTGGCACACTGCTGGCGGAGCGACCATGTTTACACTGTATCAGCAACAACAGAACTGACGTGGTAAAGCTCAAACTTCGAACACATGACCACAATAGTCACAGATATAGACACGCATAGGTAGAAGGCAGTCTGACAAACGGACTTTTATATTACGGTGAAAGTTCGTCTAATTTTTAACATACGTTTGTATAATTTCTGTCAACCAAATATAAACACTGTACTTTTCCGAAATTTTAAATTACTCACTTTTTGGAAATGTGAGAAAAGTCCGGTTGTCGGACAGACGCGAGATAGAATCTTCAACAGGATTGGAAACTTTCATTCTGATTGCAGAAGGAAGGCTGCCTAGACTTAATACATAATGTCTCTAATATTCTCAAATCGTAATCGGAGTATGCTCTGCTGGTTATTGTAAAGGAATACCTGGTAAACGATTGATCCATAACAGGTTGAAGTACATAGGGGGCTTTTAAAACGATACGCAGGCTGTGCACTGCCGCGTAAAAATATGTATTAGTCGACGGAGAGGGTTAAGAATGTGCGGAAAAGCGTGACGCACGAAGGAGCAGGACGACCGTCAACCTCTATAACTGATGAGGAGATTCAACAAGATTGAGAGATGGTAATGGTTAACCGGCGAGTTATCATCGATGAGGTGGCATGTTCTCTGGAGATTCGAATCACTGCTCTTTGGTAGTCCTTGGTCCACACATATGAACAGATTACGATAGATAGATAGATAGATATGAACAGATTACGATAGATAGATAGATAGATAGATAGATATGAACAAATAACGATAGATAGATAGATATGAACAGATAACGATAGATACATAAATATGAACAGATTACGATAGATAGATAGATAGATACGAACAGACTGTGATTGATAGATAGATAGATATATAGATAAATAGATGATAAATAGATAGATAGATTACGATAGATGAATAGATAGATAGATAGATGATGAAGATAGATCGATACGAACAGACTGTGATTGATAGATAGAAAGATACAAGATATGATAGATAGATGATGAACAGAATGAGATACATATTAACAGGCTGAGATATATATATATATATATATAGAGAGAGAGAGAGAGAGAGAGAGAGAGAGATATTTAGATAGATAGATAGACAACAGAGTGTGATTGATAGAATAGATAGATAATGAACAAAATGAGCTATTAACAGGCTGATATATATATATATATATATATATAGATAGATAGATAGATAGATAGATAGATAATACGAACAGAATGAGATAATATTAACATTATATATATATATATATATATATATATATATATATATATATATATATATATATATCAGAGATAGATAGATAGATAGATATAATAGATAGATAGATAGATAGATAGAAGGTAAACCGACTAAAAAATAAAAATCAACCTCGATAATGGCTAATGGAATAGGTGAAAGCGCTCGGATATGCAGAGAATTTGCACCAATTTTGCACACATATGCAAACACAAGAAAATTTTAATAAAAAGTTTAATCTTACTAACTTGTCAGTTTTTTTAAAGAAACTTGTATAAAAAAGGAATTCTGCCTAAATACAATTATATATATATATATATATATATATATATATATATATATATATATATATATATATATAGTTTTGTTCTCCTTGAAACCCCTGAAGAGGATCATGGAAGAAGATCGAAAGTATGTAGTAAATGAAAATAAAATAAATTTAAACAACTATAGCACATTTCTGTCATTCTTTAATATCAATACACGGAAGATTATTCGTGAGTATGAATGGATTTTATTGAAAATTAGCAAACATAATGTCTGTAATTTATTTTTTTATAGACAGACTGTTTCATGCTAGACGCTATGTACACTTTCATCTATTTTTGTTTTCATTATTTAGGCTCTAAAATATTCAACCTATACAGCGAGTCAGTTCTGAGAGAAGTGGAAATCGTAGCGAGATTCATCATTGGCGACCACAATCTTAGCGACATAAGATACGCAGATGACACGGTACTGATATCACACACGGCAAAAAAGACATTAGAAAATCACTACAGAAGGTAATGAAGGAGAGCAAGAAGAAGGGACTAAGCATAAACTACAAGACAAAATGCATGTTCATCAGTAAAAGGATTAGCCCGAAATTTGATTTGCAGCTGGGGGGGGGGCGTGTACTAAATCAATTAGGTGCAGAAGTTTAAATATCTGGGAAGTGTCTTGACAGATGATGTTAAATGCGATACTGAGATCCGTAGACGTACTGTGATGGCCAAGGACGCGTTCCAAAAGCTGGGCAGAGTATTACGAGACAGGAGGATTTCTTTGGTAACAAAGAAAAGAATACTAAGCTACTACGTGACATTTGCCCTTCTTTACGGCAGCGAATGTTGGACGGTCTCCTCAAGGGTGAAGAAGAGCCTCGAGTCGACGGAGACGTGGTTCTACTGAAGGATGCTGAGGATATCATCAACCGAGCGTGTGAGCAAAGATGAGGTTCTGCAGAGGATGCGTACAAGAAAGAAGCTTATACTTAAAATAAGGAAAAGCCAGATCAAATTTCTGGAACACGTAATGAGAAAAGAGTACTTGGAGAATCTGATACTCACAGGTCGAATAGAGGGAAAAAGAGAAGGCTGCTAAGGATATCATGGACAGAGCTTGTGAGCAATAATGATGTCTTGGAGAGGATGCACACAAGGAGGAAGCTTATACTTAACAACAAGAAGAGGCAGCTGATATTTCTGGGACACGTAATGAGAAAGGAGGGCTTGGAGAATCTGATACTCACATGTCGAATAAAGGGAAAGAGAGAAGGCTGCTAAGGATATCATAGACAGAGCGTGTGAGCAACGATGAGGTTTTGGAGAGGATGCAAACAAGGAGGAAGCTTATACTTAACATCAGGAAGAGGCAGATGAAATGTTTGGGACACGTAATGAGAAAAGAGGGCACGGAGATTCAGTTACTCACAGGTCGAATAGAGGGAAAGAGAGATAAGGGAAAGCAACGCATTATATACCTGGCTGGCTTAAATAAGTGGATGAAAGAACGTGGTCTGGGGGAGGTGGGATTTGATAAAAATTTTGAGAGTTATGAGGGATAGTGAAGTGAGTTTTTTTACAATTTTTTTTACAAAGATTTTACTTATCGAATACAATGAAAAAAAATGCTTATTTTGATTTATTATTAAAATTCTCATTTTCTATTCATTGTATCTAATACAAAAAAAATATCAACTTTATTTGCATTAATTCATGAACTAGTTAAATGTTGAAATCAGTTTGTAAACAAAAACCTGCCGAAATTAAAGTATTTCTGTACATTTTTCAGACGATTTTAGAAGCTAAATGCTCAAAAATTGGGGAAACCTATGGATCTAATGAAAATATGAACTTATCACTGATACAAAAGTTAATAAAAAGAAATCTTGAAAAAACTGAAAAAGCAATCTGCCCCAATACAGCGTAACTAACCACAGTTAGTACAAACAGTATAAATTGGTTACAACGCCGAAATCCATATTGCTTCATTAGAGATGAAAAAATCTAAAGATGGAATATTAAAAAGAGAATGGTGAGTAAATTTAAAACAGAGAAGAACAGACATTGAACAGACGGAGTGAAGTCAAGTCTCTTTTAGTGTTATTTGGTTCCAGGTTAGTATCAGAATATGTTGATCATATTCCTATAGTCGTGATTCTATACTGAAGAAAAGTTTTTCTTGGGAAAGTCAAAATTTAAAAAGATCGTTCAGTAGATATCAGGAATACCTTTCATCATATGATTGGAAAACAGCATTTTAGGGCAGAGATTGGTTTATATATATATATATATATATATATATATATATATATTTCAAAACAAAAATCTATGTTTATATACAAGTATGTTTTTATATGAATATAGATATATATATATATATATATATATATATATATATATATAGATAGATAGATAGATAGATAGATAGATAGACAGACATAATATAGATTACATTGTTTGTAGAATTATTTTATCTAACATATCTAAGTCTTCCCAGAAAATCAAAAAATTTTAACGCAACCCCAAAATTATGTGAGACTTGTATGGTATTATTATATATTTCTCCCAGGAATCGATCCTTCAGATCTACAAATCCACAATTCGCCCTTGCATGGAGTATTGCTGCCATATATGGTCTGGAGCCCCTTCTGTTTGCCTCGGGGTCCTTGATAAGCTCCAGAGGCGTATATGCAATATAATTGGCCCTGATCTGGCATCTCGTCTACAGTCACTTTCTCACAGACGCGCCGTCGCCTGTCTCTGTTTGTTTTACAAATACTTTCATGGCAATTGCTCCGAGGAGCTGCATTCGCTGGTTCCCAGACTTCATGAGTTCAAGCGCCCTATGAGGCTGGCATCCCGCTCTCACCCTTTCACTGTCGAAACTCCTAAATGTAGCCGTCTCTTCTACTCCAATAGCTTCATGTCTCGCACCTCTCGCCTGTGGAACTCCCTTCCCTTTTCCTGTTTCCCTGTGAGCTATAATCTCCAGCTATTCAAATGTAATGTCAATCGACATCTCCAGTTGTTTTGATCTATCCACTATCCTTCTCCTCATCCTTTCCTCTATCACTCCTATCTGATCTTTGCCAAATCTTCTGTAATTTTTGCGTCCTAGTGGCTTCCCGCCTTGCTTGGGGTGAAACGCTTAAAAAAAATATATATATATATATATATATATATATATATATATATATTTAAAATCAAACAGAATAAAATTTTTAAAAGAATAAATTAAAAGGTTAAAAAATAAATGGCGAATTTTTTTTCTTAAGAAATTTAAAATTTAAAAATTTTTTAATACACTTTATCTCATTGATTGATGTGATGTTATTGTTTTTAGATGTCCTTATATTTCCATTTAAGGAAATAGCATAGAAAACTAAAATGAATTTTTCTTGTCATCATCGGGCATTATTTTTCTTTTTAGTCTAAAATTGAGGTAATTTTGAGCCTGAAAGTAAAATAAATCAAAATATATTTTTTTGAGTTTTTATTAACATTTACAGAATTTTGGAGCGTTTTTTAAACAATATAAGGTTGAAAAAAAGTCAATTGTTTTATCATACATAAACGATTTGTTTTATATATATATATATATATATAATATATATATATAATATATATATATTTATATATATATATATAATTTTTTTAAATTCTGAAACCGCGAAATAAGAAGTCTCAATGTTGAAAAAAAAAGTTTTCGGCTCTTTTTTGAAATTGTTTTTTAATGAATTTCTTATGTCTTGGAAAATTTAAATAAATAATATTTAATTTAAATAAAAAATTATATTTTTGGTCTACTTTTGTTCAAACACTATTTTTTAATTTTAATATTATTGGAAGAAAAATTTTAAAGATTTTATTTTGAATTATTTACCTAATTCAGTTCCTTCCTATTTTCTATATTTTCATTATATATATATATATATATGTGTGTGTGTGTGTGTGTGTGTGTGTCTATCGTCGATACCTGATTTGCCAATTATAATTTGAAATAGACTATCGCCACTATTCTTTAAAGTTTGTTGACTTCAATGTTCACTTTTATATAGATAGATAGATAGAAACTAAAAAGTACCTCATTCCATCTGGTACACTTTATCTTTACAAGACCCAAGAAAGACAAAAAAAGTCCCACTTCCATATTCCGAGATGAATTCGGTCTCCAATGAAGGACAAACGCAATAATTAAATATAAGAAATAAAATGTATTTACACAATCATACAAAGGTAATACTGTTAGTAAATCCAGGAACGCGGTTAGTAGCAAATACAGATATATATATACAGTCTCGAAGTAGGACTTCATTTAGAGTCTCCGTGCTTGTAACTTCTTGACTAGAGTACAAGAGGTTTAAATTTTTATTACTTCTACATGTTCTAAATCACCATCTCAGTCACCATCTATTTAAATTCGTATATTCTCTCTGACTGACTGTCTAACTCTGGGTATTTAACGGCAGCAGTCCAAGTAACACTTTGGTAGAGTCCACTTAT